TATACACAGGCGGGGCACCAGTGGAGGATAACAAGATGAACATGAGGTCAGGTTGGTTAACTCATCATGGCGAATTCACCATAAAATAACCACAATGGATTTCAAGGAAGACCGTGTTTGAAATGAATTATCATTAACCCTAATTTATTGACGTTTAAATGTCAACAAATTAGGGTTAATTATAAATTCAACAACTGACAAACCCTCCCTGCTACATGCTAGTCTGTTGTGGAGGGGGGAAGGGGATTGTTAGTAATGTGGATTGATAACCCCATTGCTAGCAATGTACCTTGTCAGGTCGACCTCCACGTGGTTCCCCCTGGAAACCATCGTGTTTAATTCCTGGTGAATTAGTCACGATGGGCTAACTGACCTGACCTCATGCTCATCTTATCATCCTCCACTGGTGCCCCGTCAGCGTAAACCGTTAGTGCAGGCGGGTGCACCATTCCATTATCCACAAAAAAAAAAAAGTCTGTTGTGGAAAGTTTTGGTACATAAAATGTGATTGATATTTCTAGGACATTTAGAGATAATTACCAATGAATCCAAGTAGGTTTTCATGAGCGCCAATCCTTTGCAATTCACCATTTTCTCGCACACTTTAGAGCGCACCGTGTCGCATATCATTTTGCTTATTTACCGCACATCAACACTTCACAACAACTGCACTTGGACACCACCACAGCGTACTGCACACGAATCACTCGCGCAGTTTTGAAATTTACCGGACGCTTAGCAATTTGTGTTCACTACAACTTCCTTTTTAATCGTATAAATTCAGCAACGAATACTTGAGTAATATATGCGTTTTCATAATCCTATATAAATATGTTTATTATTCTTTCACGTAAAACTACTAGATGAATTCTAATGAAATTTGGATTAAAAAGAACTTATTGGCGATTAACACTTGGTTTGACACATTTAACTTGAAATATCGCGAGCTGCCACGGTATATCGTTAGTTAACGATAATTATAACATTATTAGTTAACATAAACGTACAGTTTTAAAGACGAACACTCTCTAACTGAAGGTATTCTGTCCCTAAACCTTAATTGCGTATTTATCTAATGACCGACGGAGTTAGTTATCTTTTGGCCCTAATACGCCTCCCTGAAGAAGGCACGGCATTAATAACGCTTGTTTAGAAACTATTTTAATGGGTAAACTTAATTTTATTATTGAGGCTCTTAATTGAAGTGACAACTTAAAGTTGATCTTTTCTTGCTTATTTATTTTATGTCTAATATATTTTTAGAAATCTAGCAAAGGATACCCCTTACGCTTTTAATAAAATCCTCCGATAAATAGAACTTACAAATAAAATGTTAAATAAGTGATCATGGTAATTTGGGACTTAATGGCTCTTGAGTTACGTGTCCAGGTTTATTTGATTCATTTAATACTTATCAAACCAAAAAGACACGTCATAGGCATTCATTATTATCTGTTGAAATACTTTCCTAAGATGCAGTAACATTTATGAATGAAATAGGAAATTGCATGGAATTCTCGACTATCTAATCTACAGTATCCGGGATACATTGCATTTGCCGTGCATACATGTACTGTTAATTTGAGACATAAGGACGTTACGTGTCCAGGGTTATTTAATAATAATAATAATCTCAAAATCATTCACACAGCGCCGTCTTAAGAACAATCCAAGTTAACTTAGTTAAAGCTTGTGTTATGAGTACTAGATAAACTGATACAAATACATAGATATATATTTTTATTTCGTAAATATATACATATTATACATAGAACACACCCAAACAATCATAATTACGAATACAAAAGTTTGTGCCGTGCGAGAAATCGAACCCGCGACCATTGGAAGTAGCGCGGTGTGCTAAACCGTTAGACCACCGAGGAAATAGACAAGCCATAAACAGTCATTATTATCTGTTAAAATACTTTCCTAGGATGCAGTATCGTTTAAGAATGTTGCCACAATTAAAATAGGAAATGGCATTGAATCCTAGACTATCTAATCTATAGTATGCGGGATAGATTGCACTCATCGTAAAGTGCATAACTTGACCACGAGCTCGTTTTTCGAATCGATTAACCCAGTCACCGCATACGGCTCAATGGACGTATAGTCACTTTTATTAAATACCAGTGTGTAAGTGTAATATCCTCTTTAGCGCCCCAGTGAAACTGGTACAAGTAGGGTTGCCTCCCGTCCTTGGATAAATGCATATTCATATACTCCGTGTAGTGAGCAGAAGTCGCTATGAATCTGCCGTCCCTTAATGCGATGAGTGTTTGAAGATTTTTCCGGCATAAATTGTAATAACTTTTCGTGCTATAGTAAAAAATTTTGAAAGGAATCTTGATAAGAAAATACAAATGCAACCAGTAATGAAGTTAACACTATATACTTACTTAAACTTCTTGCAACTGATAATAATTGTAAACATAGTGGATATCTTGTTGGTCGTTGAAATAAATAAGATGCCAATGAATCAATCTCAAATAGGCGTAACAATGAAATGAAAACTCGGTAGTAGTGTAGATAGTGTGCAATATACATAAAAAAATATCTGGACTAGAACCTCCTGATTTTGCTAGTTGGTTCTTTACAACAGAATTTAAAGCAGACCATTCAAAACATTTTGCAAAAAATCTTAATATAATAGTATGCTATACTATAATCTACACTAAAGAGGATAATCTCCGGTACTATAGATCCGATTTTGGAAATTATTTTTGTATTGAATAGACGATGGATATTGGCTATATATATTGCATAGCCTAAATCATTCCTCGATAATGCTACAACAAATAGGAGCGGAGCTGAAATGAAATACGTAGCAAAAATTAATAAAATATACAGACGAATTAGCGCCGATCAGTCATTATATTATTATACGAACTATCATTTATAACTCTATTTGTTGAAAGGTATCAAAGAAATATAAAACCGGAACACAACGCAACAATCTACATACCTACGCAACTTGACATTCGAGTTAACGGTTCTGAAATGTACGAAAAAATCGATCTTAAACTTGACATAGCGGAACCAGTTCATAACTGGCCAGAAATGTTGATACTATCTCATAAATCGTTTAATATTTAGCTATGAATGAAATATATTCGTTCAATGTGTAGATAATCGAAATAGAACTTTCACAGTTACTATTTAGAGTTTATAGTCAATTTTAATGGTTAAGCCTATGCTTTATATTGGCCAGTCAATGTCTCTGCAAGTTGAATTTTCTAATAGGAGTTATTATCTGAACTGACAGCTTCAACTTGAGTGTAAATCTACTTGTGTTTGTTCGGTTGATGGGTGACTTAATAGTATTACCACCTCAGTATGTTACCACTAAAACTTATGAATCTAAATGGGATCAAATGAATTCAACTAAGAAGGAATTTCGTTATTAGTAAAAATTGCTCCTAATTTTTAGTTAAATTGAAAATTCGACTTGGAATCGAATTATACTTTAGAATGGTTCTAATAAATAATATATAATATAGGAAGTTTCCTAAGTTACATATTCCTTCCTATTCGTATTCCTTCCTATATTACATATTCATACATATATAAAACTAAATAAAGACTGAATTATTTTTGGCACTTTTTCTACTTCCAAATAAGTTCATCATGCAGACTTGCAATTTAGTTGTGAGTTAATGGTTTTATTAATTAGAATTCAAGTATTTGGTGCTTTTTGGTAGTTTTAGGAGGCCCAGCTAATGGATTTGCGCAATTTTGTTTACAACACTGTTCAAATAAATGAAAGTGTGGAATCGTTTCCTGACGCACCCATCACAATTTTAACGCTTAGGGGGCATTTCTCGATAATTACAATCTCTTACATGATCACTGAACTTGAAATTTGACGGTGTTAGGTGAGATTTTGATGGCCGAACTGGTCGAAACCCGTTTCAAGATATTCTAGTTTGACAACTTTTGTCTGTCATACTCTGTTAGAGTTACACTTGAATGTCTTATGAGGATTTCAACAGTTCGCAATATTTGGTAACGAATATTCAAATATCGAAAACGTAATCGACTGTGTCTACATATTTCTTAAGTAGAATTTTGATTTGGTACGAATTAAATATTTTCTTATTTTAATTTTAGAAATTCATCAAATATGAAAAGATAATCTTTTGTCTATGATTAACTTACTATAGTCTATATATAATCATTTTTAAAATTTTCGTTTATACATAAAAATTTCGACCCTATTCAATATTAACTCTTCAATATTATCCATCATCATTTATAGCACCACATATAAAGTTATCTGATTTGAAGGAAATGCCTTTATGAAATATATTATAATAATAATAATAATAATCTTAGGACAATTCACACAGCGCCATCTAGACCCAAGTTAAGCTAGCTAAAGCTTGTGTTATGGGTCTAGTACCCATAATACAAGCTTTAGCTAGCTACTAGGGTACTAGATAACTGACACAAACACAAATTTTTTTTTTTGTAAATACATACATATTATATATAGAAAACACCCAGACCGATACAAACAATCATACTCATGAATACAAATGTTTGTGCCGTGCGAAGAATCGAACCCGCGACCATCGGTCGTAAAGCGGTGTACTAGACCGCTGGACCACCGAGATCATCAAATAATATTCAAGAGTATATATTTGATGATCGTTGACATTCTTGTATTGTATAAATGATACTATTAATATATAATTATCATTAAGCATAACATATTAATTTTAAATTATGTCATTATAGATATAATTTTTAAACTGTAACTTATTTAAAATTTGGATGCCTATAAATTGAGGCAATTAAACAGTTGCCGATAATAGTACCAGAACATATTATTCTCATCTAACTGTTCCGTGTAGATAAATCCATTTTATTTCGATAAGTTTCTTCCAGTGGTCTTTCTTCAAATCGTTTAACAATACTGAAGAAAATTGCATGACTATAATCGGTAGCATGTTCTATCTAAAACAAACTTTATTAAAGTAATACTTCGACAAACTCACCTCTATATCCCTAAACACATCACGTATATCAGGCTTCCTGGCTCTCGACGCGGCTCTCTTCTTCCTCACAGTCCTGTTGAGCCTTCTGACTCTTCTTCTCACTGCTGCGGCTTGTTCCCTCGGTAACGGCCTGACTGCCTCACCCAGCTGCGCCTCTGTCACCTCGAGGCCAGCCTGGAAAGGCGCTGCGAGGGAGCCCAGGCCTGCCGCTTGCAGCCATTCCGTTTCCAATTCTCCTTCTGTAGGACAAACATATTTTTATATTAGATATATCCAAAATTGATATTAAAACCTGAAATGATAATGAAATATATATAAAGATAGAAAATATATAAGAACTAGCTGGCCCACGGAACTTCGTCTGCTTCACACTGACTTAACATTATATTTCGTCAAATTTACATAATATCTTTTTAAAGTAACATTAAAATCCATTCAGGAGTTTTTGAATGAAAGAGTAACAAATATCCATCCATACTCACAAACTTTCGCGTTTATAATATTAGTAAGATATATAAAAATATTTAGTGCATGTAACAACATCGCGTTATGTTCAGTATGTTGTCCGCCATTTATTTCATTTATTTATTCCACAATTTACTTAAATATATCGATGTATCCCGTGCCTTAGGGTTAATAAAAAATATCAGAAGCGATATGGATTGCATATATTATCATTTATAAATAAAGAAATAAATAAATATTGATCTTTTTCACTGCAAAATCACAGATACAATTCAAAAATATCTTTAATGTTTAATTTATGTATATGCATGTATCTGTATTCGGTACGTTAGTTACAATATATTGGATTTTCTGATATGGTATTGTAATATTGTTGTTAAAAAATTTATACCATAGGATAGCATTTATATCATATACAGTCAACAGAAGAAAAAGAAATGTAAACACAAAGTAGAACATCACACATTTAATTAAAAAAAAATATATCATATATAATAATATATAAAAAAAAAACATAATCTATAAATAGAAACTTTAAACCAGAGTGGAATATATAGAGTACTTAAATATGTAAATCGTAAATAATTGCTACTAAATTAAATATAGGTATAATATAAGACGAGTTGGGTATTTATAATATTTTTAATACTATATCTAATGAATATTCAATGATATTTATATAGGGAAAAATGTAATTATAGAGTATTACAAAAATAAAATGTTTTCCTCCCTAGCGACCTGTTACAGCTTCGCACGGATGCGTTACAAATCTTTAAATTTCTCATTTTTTTCTATACTATAACACGCATGTATTATACATATAAACCTTCCTCTTTAATCACTCTATCTATTGCTGAAAGTTTCATTAAAATCCGCTGCGTAGTTTAAAAGATATAAACGAACAGACAGCGGCGGGGCCTTTGTTTTATACTAAAGATATAAAATATGTTTTTTGAGAACAGGATTCTGCGCGAAATAAACAATTTGGTAGTATCTGACCACAACCTGCTTTATGCTAATTATTATAAACATAAAACGTTCTGAGAATCAAAACCCACATATTACGAGATGAATCAATGACCATAGATTATGAGGAATCAAAACAAAGCAAATAACACGTGTAACCAATTCGACCCTCAACGTTTAACACGCACCTTGTAATATTTACACAGACGCTAGAATTAGCGAGCATTTGCACCAATCAGAAATCAGAATAAGTGCGGATGATAATTCAGGATGATTCTTATCATCCTGAATTATCATCCGTTGTTACGGATTTAATATGAAATATTTGGTCTTCCAAATATTTCATATTAAATCCGTAACAACCTTAAATTTATACTCTCCTTCTATCCCGACACTTCATCTGTATTCTTTATTTTGAGATAAAAGACGATCTGTGTACGTGCTCCTGATACAATAATAATAATACCTCTGAGCAATTCACATAATGGGCGAAATTCTACCATAATAATTTAATATTCAGTAAAACAATAGACAAATAATATTGAAGACAAATAATATTTATCTATTCTTAATATGACCACAGACTTTAACAATAAACAAAATATGTGTCACATACATGGTAGCGTGTGTAATGTTTTTTTATTGATTTATGTATTCTTGTGCATAATTAAAAAAAATATTAGCATTCTGCACTCCTTCTCTATATAAACTATAGATGCTAAATTTCATACTCAGAGTTTTTTCTTCACATAATAATATATAGATTATAATTTTATAAAAAGATTATGTAGATATAATTTACGGATATATGTAAATTTTATGAGTTAGTCCTAAATTATACATAATATTCCGGTATTTCCTATCTCATTATCATTTAAACATAATAGATTAAGAAACAGAGGTCGACCAAATCATATGCACGCACGTTGTTGGAACTATATTGTAAAAAAACAAGCTACATAGCTACTAATTATGAAGGTATCTTCCTCAAACTTGTTACGAACTTTTTTTGTGCTGACGTACTTTATACAAAAAACTTTTTTGTTCTGCTCGCATGTTTTTTTTATTATACATATAAGTTTTTGTGACTACTTGTTATCTGGCAACAATTTCTGTAATTACATTCTGGGTATTTCGACAGTTATTTACCGAAACATATATATACATATATACATAAACCTATATACCATTACCAGTACCAGTTCTATAGTGATATCATAAAATAGAAGATTTTGGGTGAACGCGCTAATGTCAGACATTACTGGGATGAATTGAAAAAACTTTTACTGTTTGATTTATATATATAAAGGATGATAGTGGAATGGTGTACCCGCTGCACTAGCAGTTTACGCAGGCGGGACACCGGTGAGATATGATGAGATAAACATCTAACAAACACATTAGTATGTGTTTGAAGAACAAAATAAAAACAAGAATAAAAACCTTCCTCTTGATAGTTCAAGAGGATGGTTTTTATTCTTGGCCTGCTCTATATTATAACACACATGTATGTACATAACACACATGCGTGTTCTAATATAGAACACGTGGAGAAATTCAAAGATTTGTAATACATTCGTGCGATTTCGCGACGGGTTGTCTGTATATAATAAAATAAAGAAGAAATACAAAATAAAAGAAAATAAACTTTTTGCATAGTGGAGATAAAGTTTATATCTCGTAAGTAAACGTTCTTATTTCAATAAGTGGCACGAAGTAATCTGTACAAATAAAATACGGAACTGAACTAAAACCGATCCGCACTATTGAAATTCGCAAGTGGTTTATATTGGCGAAAAGTACAGGATGTTGTTTGTTTGGATTACCTCTCCGCGGCACTATTTATAGCTAACTGGGAGAGTAACATCCGACTCGGATCTGTCCGAGAATGGAAATCAACAGGGCCGCACTTAGAGTTAACTGAGAACTAATAAAAAGTGAAAATAAAATACAAAATTTCAAATACCAATTATACTACATTATATTACATAATTAAACTATATTTTAATAATTGATTTTTTCAATAACAATTTTTTAAACACTTTAGAACTAAAACTAAACTTTTGTAAATAAATTTCAACCCTTTGTAAGAAAAGTCAAAGAAAAAGTTCAAAGTTGATTTTGACATGATAGCTATGAAGTTTGAGCAGATGAGACGATAGAGAAATTTGACGGTGGAGAAGTTAGACGGTAGATGGTAGAAGGTGTTATCATTTACCGTCTAACTTCTACCATTCCAATATGATAAAATAAATTAAATCAATGAAAGAAACATAATACTTACTACAACTACTACCTATTTGACACACACGCATAGAAGTGTTGTTTGACAATAGACCTTAATAGGTTCAAACTTAAAATTTAAACGAATTATGGTCGAATTTCGATCTTTGGGAGACCACCAGTACAGACAGATAGCCAAATACCTTCATTGTCAACATTAACAAAAGATTGCTTGCAGAGATTCTACAATTCCCGAAAGATCCTGAATCCAGGCCTGCAGTGTTTATAAACATACATGACTTTACTCATAAGATTTATTGCTGAATCACTCAGCAGTTAGTTAACCCACTTGTTGTTTATTACTTGATTTTACTATTTATAGTAGATATACCGGTCCTGATTACTAAGGGATGTTATGATTTCTAATGCACTGAAGATGATGTTTCCTTATTGTCTATCCGTTAGAATTTTATTACAATTAGAATTTATTTATAATCTAAATGTAGATAGACTGGCCACAAATACTGTTACAATTAAAAATAAACAAAATATTACGTTTGAATTTGGAATCTGTCATTCTTTTATTAATTATTTCTTAAGTTTATAATCAATAATCAATAATCTCAAAAACTACTAAATAGGTTTTATAAAGTATACGTGTACAATATAATATTCTACTTATACATTTTTGTCATCTTTGTTTGTAATGAATAACTTTGTAAAAACTGTTTGATATGAATAAATCTTTTACCCATAGATACATACGGTATAAATATGCAGTGTAAATCAATAATAGTGAATAATTAATAATTAATGTATAAAAAATAGTGAAATAATTTTTCCCCTACCGTTCAGTTTAGTATACAGATACAATTAAGAAGAACTGGCAAGAAACACAATTTCTTTTAAGACTATTTATTTCCATTGTACACTTGTATAGTCTAGTGTAGTTTGTCTATGTCTAACATTAAATGAAAATACAGTGCGTATGAACAACTATTGCCATACATGTTTGTCATTTAAGTAATCGTTCATCGGGGTCCATAGTGCTCATAAAATAATATATCAACTTATTGTAACATCACGGAATGTAAATTGATAAATAAATAGATTAATCTACAGAAATAGATAACCTACGCATCTATTTCTGTAGCCTAATTTGACTTTATATAAAGTGTAACCCGGTCATCACGCTCGTCTTTCAAGTAATTTATATACCCATTCCTATAAAGGAATTGAAATTATTGAAACTTAAAAGTTAATTGAAGACATTATCACTCTGTGGTGTGACTCTGAAGGTCTACGACCATACGCAATACCAGTTTCGCAAACTGCAAATAAATTAAATTGCTAAGATTTCTTTAAGAATGAAAACCTACAAAAACGTCGTTAAAGCGATGTGTTCATATTTGAAAAGTATTCGTCAAGTATAATTGCGTTATTTTGTAACAATGTGAGGAGTAGTCGTAAATAATGTTTACGATTGCGTACGAGTTTCGTCCTCCTAACCAATGGATATTTTATTGTTTTAAATGACCATTAAATTATTAATGCCTTTGTTTATATGCTCATTTTCCGCTTAATG